TACTAATTCCTATTAGTTGCAATATTATCATAACTTTTACATTGAATTATTTGGAAATTTGGTTACTGATGTCACAAACCTACTGCAGAGTTCATTTTTCAGCTCCTTTCCTGAAATAAGTTCTATAACATCAGTATCTATTTGTGCAGCAATAAAGTTTATTTTCTCTTTAAATGCTCTCTCAAGTCGTTCCACTCATTTGTTTCTTCTCTGAAATTCAACGAGACAGAACAAGTTTCCACACGAATAATATACAAAACAGAAACAGATAAATTTACTATCCATTTAGAAAGCTTGTAGAAGCCTCTAAGTTGGTCAAATATTACCAGTGGTGTTGAAAAAAAAGGTCTTGTCACTTACCAGAGAGTTTGGTACACTACTAATTTATCGTCCAAATTAAATTCAATATTGATTGTTAGTGTAAAATGATATCAAAGCTACCAATACACTTTATTTTTAATATTTTCCTTTAAGAGGAGTGCTGAAAAAATATTTTTAATACATTTTAGTTATTATTTAAAATTTCTTAAAAGTATTAATAAATAAATGAATAGTAAGAAAAAAGAATACAAAAAACATAATATTTAACATACTTTTTTAATATATTAAATTAAAAACAAGACTTATATAGTTTTTAAACTTTTAGTCTTAGATAATTTACATATTTTATAGTTTTTTTAATTATAATCTCTTATAACACTCATTTTTGTCCATCTTACAAAAATGTACCAATTTGATAACATTTTAATTTTTACGTAATTAAAGGACTAGATCACGAAAAATCTTCAAGAGTAAAATGGTGACATATACTTATATATTTGAAGAACAAAATTAGAAATTTTAGGACTCATTAGTTTTTTATAACACTAGTTTTGTTTGCATTTTGTTTATATAAATAATCGTAAAAATATTATCTTATTTTTATTTTTAAAAGAATATATAAAATAACACTGCAACATTTTTTGTTCAAATAACATTAAAAAATTATTCTTAAAAGTAAAAAACAAATATTGTCTGAAGTTTAAGCATTTGTTTAGACTGTATTATTTAAGTGAAAATTGTCTATTTATTTTAACAACAATTTTTTTTACCTATAATCATATTAATTATAAAATTATTGTTTAAATAAAATAAATAATAACAATTTTTGAGACATTAGATAAATAAAATTTAATTTAATCTAGTTTACACGCTGATAGCAATATTCTGTTACTTGAACACAATTTAAAAAATGTAGGCAAACATGAAGAAGCAACAACAGTTTCAACTATGGTTAAAAACTATTATTTGTTATTAGTTTTGAGAAACCTTTTTTAGTCGTGGATAAAAAAAATGCTAAAACCTTCGAATTCTGTAGATCAATATGCGTATACATAATATAATACGACACATTTTAAAATTATTTATAAGAATAAAAAAATTTCTTAAATTAAACAAATCCCTGTTATGTAAGAATGCTTCATGTGTGAGGTATGGAAGAACTTTTCTATTCATACAAAGAGAACGTGTCGAGCCTGATCTGCAATGAATGAAAACCCAATGTAAAAGGCGCACACTGTTCACAAAGTCACATGTTGAAAGAAAATAATAACATAATAAAAAGTCAAAACATTAATTGCAAGGCAATTCAGAGTTATATGTGCGTTTGAAAATAGAGTAGCTGAGAAGAACACGTTTTGCAGTGTGGGTGACATTTGAAGTTCAACATTACACAGTAAAAATCTTCTATACCAGCTCAGGCCAGTTATATGCTTCACCTCGGCATGACCACGTAGGTAGTATCGGTGCCCATTAACGTTGTACTGTAGCACAGTCTATGGTAGCGTCAGTTTTGGACTAACGTTGCGTTATTCTGTTGATCATACACAATCGCCGGTAGACTGCTCCTGTGATCATGGAGGATAATTTATCAGAAATGTCTCCGGATAGGTTTTTTTTTTTTTTTTTCTTCGTTTTACATTTGTTTCTCGAAGCACTAATGTCTAAGAATGCAAATTTCTTTTTGGTAACAATCTAAGAATATACAATACTCAGTACATGTTTACAATAACTTTATATAAGAAGTTTTTTCAATAAAAAAAATGTAAATTAAACACATCTAAACGATGAAAACAAGTTTTTTAATAATTTATTTGTGCACACATGAGTTTTAAAATTAAATATAAAATTAAGAGTCTTATTAATCGATGTAATTAAAGTATAAGTTTAAGAATTAATAAATACAAAATTTTTATTGACAATTATGTTAAAGAAACAGTAAAAGTTATGATGAAAATATATTAATAATATTGTTTAATTAAAAATATCTTTAATTTGCTAATTTTTTCGTTTGAAGCTACATACTTTAACTTTATACAATTAATTATAAGCTATTTTAATTGCTGAAAAAAGTTGTATACATTAATAATTTAGTTTAGATTAATCTTTATTAATATACTGTTTACTTGGTAGAAATTAAGTTATTAATATTAATATTATAATTTTATATCAATATTATAATATGTTATATATATATTAATGAAATTAAGTTGACATAAAAAATTAATATATATTATGTTGTATAATACATAAGTTTCAAAAAAAAAATCTTAAAATAGATGGTGATGTGGATTGTACAGGGAGCAATAACTTGGTCAAAATCAGTCATTTTGTTTGGCAGAAATACATTAAATTACTAGTTTGTCCTTGATTTAATTTTATATTTCTAGCTGGAAGTTTTTGCATGCAATTTTTTATTCTTCCAATCGTCTTTGCATGCATTATGCTTACGTATTTCATGACACAAGAAATTTAGGGAAGAAAAAAATGTAAAAGAAAGGAAAGCGACTTTAAATATATTTACCAAATTTATCAAGTATTTTTAATTTAATAGCACTGCATTCCTATATATATATATATATGCTCAGGCAGTAATTTATGAGTTCATTTATCATTTTCATTTGGGAGGGGATCAAGTAGATTAAATATTAATTAACAAATCAATAAATTTTATTCTTAGAAGGTATCATTTGATTGTGTTTCAGTTAGAAAAAATTACATGATAATCACTCCACGTTGTGTTGAAATTTGGGTTAATCATCTCCTAATCTATACAAGGAAAATGGTTCGTCGTATTTGCATTATTATTATTTTTAAAAAAAGGGGATTTATTAAGTAATTTCTGAGTTTTTATGGGTATCTTTCATTTTCTTCAATTATAGATGGATATTAACGTGAGAGTCACCCTCACTATAGATTTAAGTTGGCCAAAATATAATATTAATCCTTCTGCTAAATTCAGATCTCTCATTAATTAACTGCACGTATTATGACAAGGTAACATTAAAAATATAATTATTGCGATAGTAGGATGACCCATATAAGTGATGTGTACATACTCAATTAAATTGTATAGAATAATAAGAAGGAACATCTAAAATTTTCTTTGTATTTAATTATCACTCATAAGTACACATTTGCATAGCAATTGTTATGAGAAGGAGCCTGATTAATTTATTTGGCAATTGAAAGGATTAACTAATTAATTAAAAAGCTTTAAATTACAGTAATTAACTAACTTAAAACAAAACAAAATAAAACAAAGAAAGTAATTAGAAATTTTTAAAAATTTATAACTATGGATTAATAAATTCATTTGAAAAACTCAATGTTATATATTTGCTTATGGCTATAAAAGTTATATTCAAGTAGCGTTATTAATTAATAAGGTTGTGGTGAGAGTCTCAAACTAGCGTGCGTTAGGCAGAAATTAGATCGGTTGATAAGAGAGCGAGCTCATTTTCTTGCACTATGTTTAGAAAGAAAAGATCGAGAGAGTATATTTCATCGTTTATGCAGGTAGAAATATAAAAATGAAGAAATAGATCATAAAAAAATGAGAGGAGGGAAGGGAGAAGCGTTAAATTTTCGCTTTTTTTTTTTTTGTAGTTGCTTGAAAATAAAATTTTAATTTTATAATATTAAAAATAAAAAACGAAAATTCTAAAAATTTATGTTAAATTTATATTTTAATTAATATTATTTATTTTAAAAAATACTTATTCAAACAAGTCAAAAATTTATTTTAATTTATTCAAATAATAAATTTTATTTATTTATTTATTTATATTCTTCCTACTTTTTTATTTCAATAATCGTCTAACATAGCATTAGTTCATATACAGTTCATTCTTAACTTAAGATGTTGAAGTTTAATAAGTTGATGTTCCATATTCCTTTTTTTCTTTTATCCGATTAAGATGATTATTATATATCTAAATTGTTTTTTCTAAGTTACTATTGTATAAATGATGTTTATAAAAAAGATAGATCTAAAAATATTTAATATATCGTTAAAATATATCAATATTATTGTCACATTTTTTTAAAATGTATGAAAATAAAAATCATTTAATTACCAATTTATTTGTGTTGCAATTTTATAAAATGAAATATAAATAATTTAATTATCAAATGATTATAATTCAATAATTAGATTAATAAAAATACACACAACAACTCTCAAACTAATATGTCAAACTTATAAGTATTTAAGGCTTGATTTATTTATAGCAACGACAATACTAATTAATCCTTATCCTATTATGACGTCATTAATTTTGTTTACCTTGGCTGTTGGGATTTATTTAAAAATAGAAATTTAAATTTGAAGTTAACTCACTGCAATTCGAGTCTTTTAGCTTACTCGTGCTATGTCGGAGTGTATGGAAGCTTTATAAATTTTCTTGACATTAAGACACGTCCAACAGGTAATAAACATAGGAGTGAAAGGACGGTACCGAATCCCATTGACTTGAACATGTTACTTAGGCAGATTGCCTTCCACTTAGCTCTCTACTATTTATATACGCATTCCCACTCATCATCGATCCTACACCTAGCAAGCTCCTTTGTTAATTTCTCTGTTTTTCTCTCTTTGTGATTTTGTGACACTCAAACTATAAGCAATATCCATCAGAGACGAATAGAGTTAGAGTGTGTGATTTGTTAACTTCTTCGTCATGACCAAGCCTTCTTCTAACGAAAAGAATGGACTGAAGAAAGGTCCATGGACGCCGGAGGAAGATCAGAAACTCACCGATTACATTCAGAAACATGGACATGGGAAATGGCGAACCCTTCCCAAAAATGCAGGTAATTTTTGCTATGCTTCTCCAAAAGCCACTTCACTAATCATTAATAAAACTTGGGGTTATGTTTTTGTTAGTTCATGATTTTTTCCCTTTCCATGATCTCTACACACACATGTTCTTTAACGTTTAGAGTTCTTATTCTTGTAAGTACTACATTTTTGTTAACATCGGCCTTTAAATATTAATATTTTTAATAAAACACTATCATTTTCAAATATTGGAAAACAACTTTAAAGGTTGGCATTAATATTTTCCTAGTTATAAATGAAGTGGCACTTGACATGAACCTTCGTGTTTATTCCATTTTCATGATGAATAATAGGACTAAAAAGATGTGGCAAGAGTTGCCGGCTTCGCTGGGCTAACTACTTGAGGCCTGATATAAAGAGGGGGAGATTCTCATTGGAAGAAGAAGAAGCCATCATCCAGTTACACAGTGTTTTGGGAAACAAGTAAGTGATGATCAAGACTATAATCTCATCCCCCAACACCCCTCCTATGTTATTTTCCTTAGTCCTTACTTTTTTTTTTTGTTGGTACATGATTATTCCTCACTCCAATTTAAAAATACTTTAAAAAAGAGATGCTTTTTTGAATTTGCATGTATGCTATACAGAATCGCCAACTAATGCATGGACTTTAAATTGTGTGAAGCAATAAAATTCATTTTTAATTAGAATGGTAGCTAGGCAACTATACAAAGTCAATGATGCATCCAATAACAAACAGTATTTTCTTTTGTCATTATGTAGCATAGAAATTAATTATTGCTATCTAAATGGAAAATTTTCTGTCCTGCACAGGTGGTCTACAATTGCTGCTAACTTGCCAGGAAGAACAGACAATGAGATCAAGAATTATTGGAATACCCACATCAAGAAAAAGCTATTGAAGATGGGGATTGATCCAGTGACTCACACACCGCGCCTTGATGTGATACAATTAGCTTCCATTCTGAACTCATCTTTATACAATTCACCCCAATTTAACCACCCTGGCCTTTCAGGGATGGGAAGAGACGTAAATCCAAGCCAGCTACTAAGTTTACTCACCACTCTGCTATCATGTCAAAGCAAAAACCAAGATGTTTTAAATCATAATTACCAGCAAAATAACCAAATTGGTGGCACCCCTTTATTGCAAAATCAATCCCAATGCTCCCAACCAATACAACTTGGTTCTATCCAAACCTTCCAACCAAACCAACCCCAAGTCTCAATTCAAGAAAACCATTGTACTAAGTCTAATCCATTGCATATAGAAACAAAACTAGAGCAACAAATCTCTCCAATTACAATTCCTTTTAGCCAACAAATTAACGCTCTACCAAACTTGTGGCAGTATAATGGAGGTCATAATCACATATCAGATCAAAATCAAGCCGAATCATCAGGAACACAATGTTTCTCTTCTCCCAAGTACAACTCCATCATCAACAATCTCTTGGAAAATCAGATTTTATGTAACAATGAGGGGGTGCCAAATTTCAATTTAAGCTCACTGTTATCATCCACACCATCGTCTTCTAGCCCGAGTACTTTGAATTCATCATCTTCCACGACATTCGTCAATGGAACCACTGAAGATGAAAGGGACACTTACGGCAGCAACATGTTGATGTATAACATCTCAAATGGCTTGAATAACTCTGGACTTTTGTAATTGAACTCGATTGGAAGTTGTGCTGTAATATGATTTGTCCCTACGTTGAAATTTATTTCATTTCAGACTTTGTTTCAACATCTAAGAGATTATTACTGTTTATTAGCTTAGTTGATATTTTCATCTTGCAAGATTTTTGTTTCTCTATCATGTTTAAATATACATTATTCGTTTCATTTATCTTTGAGAATTTGAATGTTTGATTTTCTATAAGTTACTCTAATCGGGTCTTATGGTTTTTTAATGTCTTGATGTAAATTAACTTAGTTAAAAACGCTTAAAATTTATAAGAGAACAATTAAACGAGCTATTTATTACATGTATAAATTTGTTTACAATTCAAATTGTTCAATAGAGCTTTAACTTTGTCCCTGCGAGATTTAGTTTAGAAGTTGACCTATTTAAACCTAATTATAGGTGGCATATAAGTAAAGAACACGTGTGATCTCAAATAATTGTCAAAATATGTTAACCACGAACAAAAATTATCTGTCCCAAAAATAGTTAATTGGCTATGAGAAATTTTAAAAATTTAATTATGTTAATTATTAAAACTGAGCTCGAGAATATTTCTCAAAAGAAAAATAAAATAAAAGGAATAATATGATTTTAACCTAAACCAATAGCTACTTGGTTCGACTTACCCATGTGACATCTATTTAAAATATAAATTATTTTAGAATATGATCGAATTTAACCCTTATTAAGTAGATTTAACCTTGGTTGATGCTTTTACACGAATTGAATACGAATAACGTACGTGGTTACTATTAATTTGGAAAAAAGAACAAAAATCATGATTAAAAAAACATGAAAATTGTTAATATTTATTATCTAATCAATTTCAAGAATTTTTTTTAGTACCAAATTCATATTTGTACTAAATAAGAATTTTGAATATCATTATATATTTATTCAAAGAAAAACTCACTTTAAAGAAACTTATGTCATATAAGTCATAATAAGAATAAGAATAAGAAAAATTTTGTTAAATACATTCCTCACTGCCTGAGCCCTGAATGCTGTAAGAATCTCATAACGGTTAGAATTAGCCAAGTTTGTCTTATAAAATTATAAATATTTTCAGTATTTAAAAAAAGAAGGAATTGTGCTTAAATTTCATTTTTTTTCATAAATATTTGTAGATATATATAAATTAACCCAATGAGCTATATCCTTTTAATTTCTCAATAAGGAACTTGTGTGACATTTTTCTAATTGGAGTGGGTTTTTCAATTTCTGTCTCATTCCATATTGGGAAGGGACCACTTGGAGGAAAGTGAGGGAGAAATTGAAAGCTAGAAATTAAGGATGGAGATAGGTTTGAATGGAACAGTGAACGGGAAAGGCTAATGTGTGAGGCACCCAAGTTCCGTCTACGCATCTACTTGTCGTTCAAAGCTTTGACTCTTTCCTACTGCCTACAGCCATTCTACCAATGTCAACTTCTCAAATGAGTATTACTGTACATCACTATCCTATGTTTTCCGTATATTATATTATTGAATTATATTGCTAAAACTGATAAATTTAACTCTACTCAGTGTATATAAATATATATTACCTTGCTGATCGATATTTTACTGATATTAATAATAATTTATTTATTTTTATGTTAAAAGTAATTTTAAAATTATGATAAAAATATATCAATATATTTTTCAATACAAATTTCCTAAAAGCATAAGTATAATTGTAGCTCATGAGAACTGGACACCTGGCTCTGCTACCTGTATGTTTCACGTGCTGATTAAAATGTGTTATTTTTATTTATTTATTTATTTAAGAACTGTGTTCGATAGCTTGCCTAAGTTGCTTCGTCTCCCTTCCCAGGGGAATAGGAAAAAATTAATAACAGTTTGCAATTCTCTTAATCAGAAGTTATGCTAATATTTATTAACAGTTTTTTAAAATACACGTTAAAAAAGTACCATATTAAAAAATATAAAATAATTCAATTTATAATATTTATATTAGACCTTATAATGCTATGCAAATTTTAATAAATAATTACTACTCGTAAGTTTTTGTTATATATTATTAAATACATGTTAAAAAAATATTTATTATTATTATTATTTTGATAAATTTTAACAGAAATCTATGATCGTATATATTAAATGAGTAATACTAACAACAAATTTTTTTTAATACATCTTTTATTATCAACTAAAATTTATTGAAAATTATAAAAAAATATGTCCTTTTGTCACTTTTAAATTAATGTTTCTTTCTCATTTTTTTTTATTTTTCAATAAGTTTTAAAAAAAGAGTGAATTAAAAAAATATATTACTAGCATTTTTCATATTAAATTATTCATAAAAGAAATAAGAGCTTATTATTACTAATAAAGAAATCATTTCATATTTACAATTAGTCGATAGAATAGTCAAAATGTTGGGGAATGGAGTTGGTTTTTATCCGACTTAAGTTAACATGAAACAACGCTAACTTACCTGCGTCTACCATATTTAAGTTAAAGGAATAAAATCCCATCGTATATACTTATAAATATTTTATATTCAAATTTATATTAATCAATTACAATTTAGAAATCAGTATACATCGCATATAAATTTAAATCAGTATTCATCACAACGTTAAATTAACCAATGAAAACTAAATATGTTTGGTAAAAATATATTATTTAATATAAAAACATTAAAGTCATCATTAAATAATTTAAATACGAGTTATTTAAATGAAAAGTGCGGGACGAAGTTAAACAAATTGACCTCAAATCATACCCACGCTAACTCAGCAAGTGAATATACGCTGTTCAGTTGTTTTTAACATGTCCAAAAACACAATAAAAATTTATATATAGTATATTTTTTATTAAAATTATAAAATTCATTATATTACTAATATTAAATATTAAATTTTTAATAAAAAAATATTATTTAATAAATTTTTATAATGTTACTTTCACACACATTAAAATTTTATAAATTATTTTATCTCACTCTTCTTTTCTCATGCACTTTGACAGTAATGTCATGTCATCAACCCTATCAAAATGGATTAATGAGCAACTTTTGCAGTTAACAAATTTAATTTCGAAATGGGATTTTTGTAATTTCCTGAAAAATGATTTTATTTATATTACTACAATTTAATTACTTTAATTATCATTTTTTAATTTTAAAACCTAATTTGTAACTTTTTCATAATAATCTTAATTATGCTGCCAGGAAGTTTACAAAAATTTTATTGATTAATATGTATTGTGACTCTTTATATTGTGTACTATTTACATTTTATATAATTTAGCACAATAGAAAGAGGTTTAATATACAAGCTTTGTTGTATATTTCTAATTTTTGTATTACTTTGCAAAGTAAAAATTAAATTTAAAAAGGTATATGTATTTATTATTTTAAAAACATAAAATATATTTAATATTTTCTTTATTTAGTTAATAGGATAATTTAAAGAAAAAAGAGGGGAAAATTAAAATTACTCTTAATATACACTTTGGACAAAAACAGAATTCACAATTAGAATCATAAATATTGGATAAGCTTAAAAAAAACAATTATTCCTCAAAGAGTATTGAGGTTTTACTCTTAAATTTTTGTATTCTTATATTTTTTCTTTTTAGCAAAAATTTATTAGTCCTACGTTTCCTATACGGACATGTAAGAACTTTATTACATATTTTTCTCTCAAAGTGAATACATCTTTGGCCATGAAAGAACATAATTTTATCAATATTGTTAATATCAAATCTTTGAATTAATTTTAAATATTTAAAAATAATACATGCTTATTATATTTTTATTGAAATTATACCACTTTTAAAGGTTGAAAATCAATCCTAAACACTTTTGCTAATATTTTCTTTATTTTATATACTGCATGCTAGCATGTTACCAAAGCATTTGTCTTTCTTCACAACAAGGTAGGTTAGGTCTCCCTATATTTGAATTACATGTTCAATGCCAAAAGTGGTTCAACGCAGTATTGGAGAACGGAAATTGCTGCTATAACTAAAATACACTATTGTTATCTAATCTATGACTTTGAAAAACTGTTGCGATAATATCACTGTGTCATCCCACAAAAATCACTTAATTTCCTAAGGAATATGATTATCTCTCTTCTTTTCATATTTTCACGTAACACAAATTAAATTAAAATTGAATTATTCTGTTCGTCGATCGTTAAACATTTGAATTCCACGGAAGCAGAGGCAGAGCGACGTCGTTGCGTTTACAAGCAGCACGACGTCGTTGCGTTCAGCAACAGCACGACGTCGTATCGCGAAGTTTAAAAACTGGCGCGCTTTTGTTCTATTTCCGTTGGTAACAAATAACTGTCTAGAGAGAGAAAGCCGAACCCTTGAGCTTAATTACACTCCGCATCTCTCTCACTCTCTCTCTCTCTCTTTCTCTTCTTTCTCGTTTTTTTTCTCAATTTCTTGGGAAACAAACAACCTTCCACTTTCTCTCTCGCTCTCTGACGATGGAATCCGACACTGAGTTTCCCGAGCCAACTACTTACAGGGACCTTGACGCTATAACCAAATACCTTGACACCGAGATCGATTTCATGGCCGCAAGGAGTTACTACTCAAGGAACTACACCATTCAATTACGGAGGCACGCCGTTTCTACAATCGCCAGGGTAAGTGTGAATCGTAGACACGTTTCCGTTTGTTTCCTTTAGCCGTAATATGAAACTTGAAATCCATGCAAGAACCTGCTTGTTTCCTGAAAAAATTCGATTCTTGTTTCTAGTTTCCAGCTCATTTTCATATGCATCTGTTTGGATACTCAGAAAACAGAATCGAAATATGTTCATCCGTGCAAGAAAGTGCTTGCTACGCTAGTGTTAATTTCTTTTTGCGATCTGTTTTCTAGGCTGTATTTTATGGCTTATTTTCGTCTCCGTTTGGCTACGTAGAAAACAGGAAGAAAAAGTGAGTGTTATTGTGTTTAATTTCCGATATATTGATTGCATTAGGGCCTGGACGTTTTCCTTTTCGTGGAAAGCAAGAACGTAATATTTGTGCATAATTTTTTGAATCTTCATTTGGATGTGTTAATGTGTGAAAATCTCGCTCTCTGGTTTAGTTCTTTTTGCTCGGATTTATCTTTGTAATCGTGAAAGGAACCTGTTGATTTCTTTTACTTAATCTTGTCGTTGTTGACTTATGTTGACTTCTTCTGCGTGTTTTGCTTCGCACAGCTCTCGCAGCGCGAAGATCCCGATGCATATATTCCCTACCTAGCAGTGAACTATTTCGATCGCTTTGCTTCCAGGAAACTTATTCAAGTAATATATCTTTTTCTTTTCGCCTCTGAAATCTTAAAATTTGTTTATCCATCGTTCTTTGAATTCATTTGTGATAAATCTCTCTGGTTTCCCTAAGGATATCACCGGTGGAACTTTGACTGAAAGAGTTCGTTTGATTGCAATATGTTGCTTCATCATTTCCGCCAAGATGAGGACAAAGCAGTTCTATCTCCCTGAGCTTCTGGTAAGCCTGTGCGCGACACTCTATATTGCGGAATTAAAACCACGTTAAATTTAATCTCATTGTGTTTAATACACGACTACACGCGCTGATTTATTACACAGGGGGACAAATATGTTGATATCGAACACGAGAGGATTATGAAAATGGAGCTTCTAATTCTCGAAGAACTTGACTGGCGAATGATATCTGTAACTCCCTTTTGCTTTCTAGACCACCATTATCCCATCTTCAAAAAGATTGGTGGTTTCAAACGCCGTTGCATCAATGAGATCATAGTCCAGGCTCAAGGAGGTGAATTGGCATCACAATCAACTTGTTGAGTCTTATTTTATTTTTTTACGAAAGTCCTGGTAACATTTTTTTAATACACTCTTTATTATTATTTATTGAAATTTATTTGAAACTATAAAATTATGAGTGAGGCTCGTTTAAATCAAAAGTTAAAATCGATGTAATTCTGCATTTCTCAATAAATTTCAGTCAAAAAGTAATTAAGAAGAGTGTGTTAAAAAATATATTGGTAGCATTTGTCTCTCCCACTGTGACACTTACAGAACATCGGTTCTTTTCAAAAAAATTTGCTGCAGAGCACCCCTTCACTCTATTCACGCCTTCTACTATTGCAATGTCCGCTTTTCTGGCTGCTACCAAAATTGCATATCCCAATGAGTATGATTCAATAGACAAAAAGGTAAATGAAATGAAAAATTAAATGCACAGTCGTAATTCCTGTTTGAACAGATTTACAAATTATGCCTTAAGCAATTTTATATATCATCCTGGTTTTCCTAGGAGGAGGAGAAAGAGTGTTGCAACAAGCTGGTTGAACTTTGTCTTAGAAAGAACATTGAGATACGTACTGAATCAGGAATTGTTATGTCTGGTAGCAAAATGGCGGCATCCCTGGAGCATGCTGAAGAAGTTGCAGCAGCCGAGACATCCGAAGAAGAGTTGGCAGAAGAGATTGAGTCAAGCATGCAAGAACATAACAAGAGCAGGGCAGCCCCCTTTTGGGCCCTGGTGCTTGATAATCCTGAAGAAGAAGAAGAAGAAGAAGAAGAAGAAGAAGAAGAAGAAGCACCTGAGGCTCAGTTAATAACCCGACGAAGACGAAACAGGGGCGTCTCTATTGCAGAGAAATCTGGAATTTTAGTAGTCAAGACCGAGGCAAAACAAAGAAGAAAGGAGGAGGACAAGGCTGGGGTCGTGGAGGCATCTAAAGAAGATGTAGCAGCAGAGACAGAGACAAACCGACAAGGACAGGACAAGGGCAAGACACGGATGGTGCCGGAAATAACTGAAGATGAGATCGAGTTCAACCAACGAAGACGGGAGAAGGGCAAAGCATTGATGGTGGTCGATGAGGAGGAGGAGGAAGAGGAGGAAGAAGAGGAGGAGGAGGAGGGACCAGTTTCACAGATTGTTCCAAAGAAGCTAATGAACTTTCACCTAAAGTGGCCAATTAGTACGCAGCTAGATATTATAGAATACATAACGGAACATGAAGCTGAACGAAAACATAAAAAAGCAAAAGCAAAAGGACATGGAAAAGCAAAAGCACAGGCACAGGCACAAGCACGGGTAGATGACCCCAGAATAGTAAGCATTCGATGTCCTGAAACAATAAGGGGGACTGGACACGATAAACCTCTAGGAAACGGGGGATTTTGTAACTGCAGCATCGTTTAGTTAGTTTCTACACCTATTAATACTAAATCCTAAAGAGAAGATCAAACACTGAACACTAACTGCTGTTACATATATCATGTAGTTCTAATCCCTTTCCATTTGGCGGCGGTCCAGAAATTGATTGTGGACCGTGCAATTCATAATATGCCGATTGAACTGTCGCTATTGATATAGCATTACACTGCAACTGTGGTTCCCGAATTCCGTTTCAGTGAGTGTTTATTCTCCATAATTGATTTTTTAGACCGCCTGATTGTTGCTGTCCTGCCTACGATTCTTCTGCGTCATGTTTCAATATCCGAATGAGCTGTGCGTGAAGTGTAAATGATGGCTTTTATAAGCAATTCAAATCCTGCTATTTCTTGATGAAAATACACTTTTTTTTTTTTTATCACTTTATACATATATATATATAGGACCAAATTTCTATATCATAAATATCGAGACAGATTTTGAAACCGAAAAACTTGATCGATTCAAATAACAGACATCTTTTTCGTAATTCATTATCACTTCTACAAATTTAAATCTAAAAAATATAAACAAAAATTAATAAATATATATCTTAAGAAATAAAAATATTATAATTGGAAATAGTAAAACTAGCATCTCAATGAAGAAAAAAATATAATGAAAATTAATATAATAGATTATATTTTATTTAATAAAATAGAATTAAATCAAAGAAAAATATTAAAAAATCATTTAAATAAAGACATGAATTTTATTGAAATTAATGACTTTACAGTCAAAATTCAACATTTAGATAAAAAGTTCAGAATTTAACATTTAAATTAAAATTGACTAAATTTAAATAAAATTATTAAAAATAAAATGAGAAAAAAAATGAAGATAAACTGAAAGCAAATAAATCCTAAAAATAAGATAATTTGCATTTTCCAAACCATGCTCGACAAAGTGAACTAAATTTCATTTACAAACTATTGAGTTGCATTAAATGATTTTGAATCGCAGAACGTGGTTGAATTGAAATTCTAAAAAATTACAGTATCTTTAACTTCTGTTTTAAAAATATATAGTTCCTAAACTGTAAACATTCAGACCAAAAGAAGCTCCAACACTGGCTTCTCAAAGCACATGATGCCTCCTATTACTTACTATTTGAAATGTAATCCATTCATTCATAGCATTTATCATGCTGAAACTCGTTGAGTTGATGGGTTTAATTATAAAGATTCCTTGGCATTGGGAAGAAATGTAATACAGGATTTGCAATTTTTAAAAGATCGAAGAAAGGTATCTATGTTCCAGTTCCCAAAAGTAATGAGGCGGCCAATGAGGGAGGTTTACCATGTCACCATGACGACGATAGTATCTGTCTATTCCCGCTAGCACAAATTGGTAGCTGCTGATTGTGACATTCTTAAACGCACTGGGCCTCTTTACAATATAAATATTCACCAATGTTCAATACCTAACACAATCTGATTCAAACATCAAGCCTCTCGAAGAAATAAAGATAGCCCATGTCCTTGGGAGGATCAATGGAAGCCCCAACTTTATTGTCGTTAAAAATAACCCATCTACCGTCTTTTAAGACATGTGCAACATAGTGACCACACAGCGTCGATGTTCCAATGTGGCTAACAAAACCCTTTAGTCGATATCCTGTGGAAAACCAAAGCGAGAGAAATCTCATTAAAAATCCGCTGTTAAAACAATAACGCCAATTTGAACACTCGAAAACTTTTTTTTTTTTTTGGATGATTCAAGATTCAATTATAATCAACGTCATAATAACTAAGTATTAAAAGCAAATTACTTCCTCCTCCATCAGGTAAGTTGGCATCATTTGGAACAGATTCAGAGTTTGATGCAGTAGCATCCATACTGGAAATTGAAGCATCAGGATTGCTAAATATCCACTCTGTTGCTTTCTCAATGTCACCACCCTACAGAGCAATTATTTTCACCAAGTCAAACATTTTAGGACAATGAGGACCATCCAAATCCCACAGACAGAAGAGAAGGGAAAATATTGTAAGAGAAAATTACCGATGCCTTCAGTGCCTTTCGAGCAACATCATCTTGAAATCCAAATGAAATTAGAGTATCAACTTTTGATTGGTCAACACTGTCACAGCCTTGCCCTTTTGAGATAGGAATGTCAATATCTATGAAAATAAAGATATATCAGTTATTATCTCTTGTATTAAGAAGCCACTGGCTTAAAGGAACTGTTTTGCATAAAAAAAACTAAGAGAAACCTGGATCGTCCATATGAGATAGTAACCAATTCATTGCCTCTTCTACCCCAGCATTTGATGTATTTATAGCAGCTTTCTGACAATGAATATGGTTAAAGCCCATGGAAACCAGCTGTGAGACAATGTCTTCATTGGCCAAAGGTTCGTCTGAATCCTCCTCACCGGGTACTGTGCAACAAATGTCAATAGATTTGGCAACTTTTAGCTTTATTCCAGCTAAAATGATATTTTTGTTATTTAGCTAAAATCTAGATCCTCCCTAGGATTGGAAGGGAGAGGAAGACACAAAAAATAGTGTGATTGTAACACATTAACAATGCTTTTGCCAAGGGTGAAAGACTGAAAGATTGTAATTGTTTGGTCTTTTAGGGCCAAGGCCAAATATGTTACAAAAAATATATATTGTGGGTGCTTCACCAGAGTCACACCCAGCCAACCGACAAGTTTACAATGCAGATAAAGGGCAACACCCTGATGAAGACCCATATGGCACCAACCAGTTCAATAAAATTCAAATAAGTCTTAGACGAAAGAGGAACTCCAGTAGTAGCACCACTCAGTGTAACAAAAACTCAGATTTCCAGAGATCAGAAATGGGAAATGATCACAGAGCTTGGGGGTGGGCATGGGTTATTTTTTCCTCTGAAAATTTGTTTCTTAGTCATTTACACGGTGGCTCATCAAGATTCCACAAATCATCCAATTTCAGCAATTTCATGAGGTTGCCCAACAATCCCAGCGTGATCTCACCAAACCAAGTCAATGTACATAAGGAGCGTATGTAAAATGAAACAATATTATCAATGTAAGCCACTAATTTTATAAAGTTTATTTCCTAACAGAGAACACAAATTCCACTAAGGAAATAGCAGGTGACCAACGCAACATGTAAAAAATGTTATATATTAGAATTGAGGACTCAGTAATCAAAGTAAATTATCTATTTTCCTCTATTGGAATCTTATAACCTCCTGAACAAGAAAAACATACATACCCCCATCTGGTAAAAGCTCTTCCCCAGGGTGATGACCTTTGCTGCGCATATGATTAATATCTATGATATCAGGTACATCTATATACACATCTGAAAGAAGAGAAGTTCTTAGTTATGTATAAAGAGATATAGGGAAAAAAATAATGTCAGGTACATCTATATACACAACATATTGATTATTGATACACAACGTACCAAGTTTTTTGGGTACCCATCCCTCCTCCATAACAAATTTCCGCATGTGTAACACCAGGTAATCAGGGAAAGATGTCAGACCAGCTGTCCTACAGATTAAATAATGTTTCAGCATCAAGATGATTTTCAATGCACTATTAATAAAGACATAATTAGGTAGCATTAGACCAAGCTTTTTTAGATCTTAAAAGCTACTTTAAAGTAAAAGTAAAAAATAAGAATTATAAAGTAAATCCTAACTGCAGATGATTATCATTTATTCGCTTAAGACAATAACATTATAACGAAACTCAAGCCTTTTCGGTCAGGTACACAATTCAAAAGCCAAAATATTACCATAAATCATGTTTTTACATACAAACTATTGACCTATAAATCCTTCTTAATAGCTTCACCTATACCCAAGACAATGACATCAATAGACTAAATTTCTCAATAATCCAAAACAGAATAGTGAAACACCCTATATAACTATCCAATGAACTAACATGAACGGCATTAATGCTTACTTCATTGCTATTGTCTTTGCTTTCAAGGCAGTGCTGTAAAAATCATGTATCTCCTCAGGGGATGAGAAATTTGCAAGGCAAGCTTCTAAAGGCACCCTCGGCCGTACAATCTCATTGCCAGACCTATCAGAAATTAAGAATAAATATAATTAGCAGAGGTTGGATAAACAAATGAATGAAACAGTAAGATTCCTAAGTATCTGAACTTACACTTCCTTTCCTTCAGAAAGTTTCTCTGCTTTCAGTTTGTTGAACAATTCTAATTCTTCTGAAATTTCACAAAAGAAAAAAGGTATAAAATACAAGACCCTAAGATTTCTCAGTTGAGAACTAAAAACACCCACCTTTGTTAGTTGCTTCATGCAATGGGATATTCAGCGAAAGAATATAGTCAAGTCTTTTATTATACGCAACTTTTCCCGATGAACACAAGATTCGATCTTCAATACCAAACTTGAAACTCCTCGCAGGATCCAGTTCAGTTTTCCCAGTATTAGCTCGTTCAACTTGGTCAAGAAAGTGAAGGAAAAATTCTAAAGCATCCTAACATTGAGTTGGAATAAAATTGTTAGAAGACAGCAAAGACACATTCATCTCCAAAATCCAAATAGAAAAATATATTAAAATAAAGTATGGGTGGAACCACTTCTGTTGAATCAAGATAATTTAAGTTATATACTTTGGGGCTTATCAGAAACCAAAAGTATGTATTAGGAGGCCTAAATTTATGATAACAAGTGCAGGTAACCAAGCATAACGGCAGACATCATTCCAGCTTAACTTGATATTTTCTTTACATCCTTTACTTCCTTACAGTGTGGCTACATATTCATAAATAACTAAGTAGCAGGACATATCAAATGGAATAATATCAGACACTTCTTATACCATTAACTCATTCAGAAAAAAGAAGTCGATAAACATACCTGTTGCCGCATAGATGAAAATTCAGGATGGCTGGCAGCAATTACAGCTTTGAACATTCGTGGGGGTATCCCTTCCTGTTCCTAGTGTTTGAAAAAACCGGGACAGGGCAAGCAGAAAAAATGACAAGAAAGCTCACTGTTATACGAA